CTTTTCAGAAATTTTGAAAAATTTCTACCTTGTATACGGCTTGCTAAAAAAAATTTTTTTAAATCATGAAAGCTATTAATCTCAATTAGTACTAAAAGAAAAAAAAAGTTTCAAAAAAATCGAAGATGTAAATGCAAAATGTTGTCTGATTTGACGTGGAATACCTCATATATATATATATATACTGCTAGATGAGTGAAAGAGAAAAAGAGACCATTGACATTTAAGCGTGTGATAATAACAAGAGGTGAATTACCAACACGTATCGTATTATGCCATAAGGCGTAACGATACACGTGTACCAGTATACAGTCAACAAGTTTTTTTTTTTAACATGTTTCAAGATATTCTGCATTTTTCATAATTTCTACTGTCGATTCATCATTTACTGATGACGCCTTTGCTAATTATTTCAATTTTTATTTTTTTTATATGGTACTTTCTTTTCGAATTTATATTTTTTTATCCGACGCAATATTTATTCCCCTTGTTTTAATAACCACTTAAATTTATAAAATTTTCCACTCAAAATAAGAATATTTCGATTTAAAGAAGATTTTTTTTCCCCCGTTGAAATCGCATATTTGGGGCGCATGATTATGTTCTAAAAATCATTAGTCAGAAACTCAGAATTTACATTTTATCGAATTTCATTTGTCATATGTAATTAGTTTTTTTCGAATTCGTATTTTGCATAATTTTCATCAATCCGATTTTCTTTATTACAAAATTTTTATATAACCGAAAATTCACTTCATAGAATTTTTATTTGTTAGAATCTTAATTTGTTCAAATTTTCATTTAAAATAATAGGCATTTTAAAGAATTTTTATTGGATATAGAATTTCATTTTCTGTCTCACTCACACTCGTGCGTTGCCATGGTAACCTGCAGGCAGGCAGGCAGCCAAAAAAGGTGTGAGTGCGCCATTAGAATTTTCTTTCAGATGAATTTTCATTTGTTCGAATTATTATTTTTAATATATAATTTCCGAGATAATTTCCATATAACCGATTTTTTATAATACAGAATTTTTACTTAATCGAAAAATCATTTAATAGAATTTCTAATTGATAGAATTTTCATTTGTTCGAATTTTTAAATGGCCGAAAAAACAATCGATTTTGGCGCGATTTTTAAAATCAACCAATCAAAAAAGATCCATAAAATTGTGATTATAATTGATTTTAAAAATCGCGCTGAAATCTTTCTGTCGATTGTTATTGTTCGGCCATTTGCAAATTCGGATAAATGAAAATTCAATCAATTAGAAATTCTATTAAATGATTTTTCGATTATATAAAAATTCTGTAATATAGAAAATCGGTTTGACAAAAATTATACAAAATATTAATTCGAAATCAAACTTCGGCTCAAAACTAATTATCTATGACAAATGAAATTCGATAAAATATAAATTCTGACTAATTATTTTTAGAACATAATCATGAGCCTCTCATAGTTATAGAATAAAAACATTATTTTATAGTTTTCGATTGCGATTAAAATTTTTTTTGTCATTATAATATAGTAAAAAATTTCTCTACTTTTATTTATAGATATTAGTTTCCTTTTAAATAAAAACGATTTCCTTGTTATACCGCATGTATACGAAATTTGCGTGAAAATTTAGAGGATAACTTTGAAAAGGAAAAATTTATTATTTTGAGGAATGAAAATTTTTTTTATCCATATTTTCTTTTAATTGGTATATATGTAAGCTGTATATATAAATAATCCTTTTAAAGTCTTGCGATGCGATTTAGAAAGATTATGTCACGAGTTCTCCATCAGTATAACGATCGGAGAACTATTGCCTCACAATTGACAGTTAGTTTGACCCATGAACTAAACTCTCGCTGAATCTGGGTTATTCGATAGAATTCCAAGAAACAAATAATAATGGGTCATTCCATTATATTTCACCTAAAGTCGTTGCGGCCTAATTTTTAAAGAAGTTGATACTTTCAGAAATGATTTTTTATGATATTTAGGAAACGAAATAAAAAGAATTAAGTTAAAATTTTTATTATTTATCTCAAAATATGTATTTAAAGTGGACAAGGTGCGGAAAAATGTCACCTTTTTAGCATTTAGAAACTTTTTTTAAAAACATAGAAAAATTGTTAAAAGTGTAAAAAAAATTATTTTTTCTTGTTTAGAATCGATTAATTATCTATTTTTTAATGATTAAAGTAGTAAATAAATTAAAATAATATATAAAATAAGTTTTCAAAGTTGGTCTGTCAAATAACCTAATTTTGGGATTTTTATTAATTAATTACTAAAAAGTGGAGTTATTAAATAAAATAAAAACTTACCGAATGTAAAGTATTTGTGGTGAACTTTCAAATTTTCTTAGCACTTTGTACTTTTTAAATTTATAAATGTAAAAAATCTTGAGTCGAAAATTTGCACTTTGTTGACTTTTCCGATTTTTAATTGCTTGTAACTCTTTTGGTGCAAAATAAAAACTTTTGAAACCTTGTGGAATATTTAAGTTAAATCTAAATAAAAACTCACTTAAATTTTTGTGATGGATTTTGATCGAGATAAGGAGAAAATTTAATTCCAAAATTGTACGTATATTTCCAGGTTAATGTATGTAATTTTTTTAAACTTGAAGTTGGGCCACTACTTCAAAGACGAAAAATTACATACATTAACCTGGAAATATACGTACAATTTTGGAATTAAATTTTCTTCTAATCTCGATCAAAATCCATCACGAAAATTGCAGTGAGTTTTTATTTAGATTTAACTTAAATATTCCGCCAGGTTTCAAAAGTTTTTATTTTGCACCAAAAGAGTTACAAGCAATTAAAAATCGGAAAAATCAACAAAGTGCCAATTTTCGACTCAAGATTTTTTACATTTATAAATGGAAAAAGTAAAAAGTGCTAAGAAAATTTGAAAGTTCACCGCAAATACTTTACATTCCGTGAGTTTTTATTTTATTTAATAATTCCACTTTTTAATAATTAATTAATAAAAATCTCAAAATTAGGTTATTTGACAGACCAACTTTGAAAACTTATTTTATATATTATTTTAATTTATTTACTACTTTAATCATTAAAAAATAGATAATTAATCGATTCTAAACAAGAAAAAATAATTTTTTTTACACTTTTAACAATTTTTCTATGTTTTTAAAAAAAGTTTCTAAATGCTAAAAAGGTGACATTTTTCCGCTCCTTGTCCACTTTAAATACATATTTTGAGATAAATAATAAAAATTTTAACTTAATTCTTTTTATTTCGTTTCCTAAATATTATAAAGAATCATTTCTGAAAGTACCAAGTTTTTTAAAAATTAGGCCGCAACGACTTTAGGTGAAATATAATGGAATGACCCTAATGTATCTAAGGAAAATTTTTTATTTCTTTTGTTTTTATTATATTTAATTCTTATAAATTTACAAAATTATATATATTTTGAAATTTACAATTTTAATTATAATATTCGAAATATCATTTAAATTTTTGTTTTACGTTAAAAAACATTTTTCAGTTTTGAGATTATGTTAGAGCATGAAAATAAGTAATTAACTCCGAAAAAGTTGCGAAAATGAAAAGTGTAATTTTTTCCAGTTTAATATAACTGGATTATAAACAAACGAAAAAAGAAGTAGAATTTTTACCCCAAAATCGGTATAAAAATTATCTGCAACAAATTTTATCCTATTTGAGGACGCCACCGTCTATGTGAATTAGCATTGGTGAAAATTACTCGCAACAAAATTTACCCAGCGTTTTTTCTGTGTAATTATTTAATGCACTTAAACAAGTTGCTGTATAATAAAAATTACACTCTTTTTTTTGCATATTTAATGAAATATATATACAGTCGAACCTCGATAAGTGAGACTTGTCTATCTGAGAAACCTCTATAAGTGTGAAGAATTTTCAGGTCCCGTCATTTTTACATGCAAAAACCTTTATAAGTGAGAATCTGTAAGTGAGAATCATTTTTCTTGATTAGACCTTTGTAAGTGAGAAAAGCGCGCTATTCAGACCTCTATAACTGAGAATCTTTTCTATATTATAATTTTCTAAAAGTCAATATGAAATTAATAAACAGTAATTAAAATTTGATTAGACGTGTAAGAACAAAGGCTCTTTGTTCAAAGCAACAAGAAGTTTTAAGTGCACTAGAGACAATTCACAGATTTTTTGAATTTTCGGCAAAATATTAATGAATCAGTTTTTGACAAAATTTATGAGCTTGAAAATCATGTTAAGAATTGCGCAACTAAAAAACAAACAGTAATAACAGACTTTGTTCATAAAGCTTAAAGCAATAACAATTTTTATTAAACTTGTTAAATAAATAATTATATGAAATTTCTTATTACGTAAAAGTGAAACTTTAATTAACAAAACCCTTAAAAAGCCTCTATCAGTGCAATAACCTCTGTAAGTGAGAAAACCCACTCTTCGACAAAATTTTTAAAATATGACTTTAGATTCGTAATCAGCGACCCTAAAAACCCCCGAATAACAAGTTTCAAGCAAATCTGATAATTTAAAAAAAAAATTTAGTCGCCATATTGGATCCACCATTTTGAATTTTGAAAATTTTTAAAATATGACTTCAGATTCGTAATCAGCGACCCCAAAAACATAAGAGTGACCCATTATCCAACAAGTTGCAATTATTTTCTCAAGGTAATTAATACATTTGTTTGATGAGTTAGTAAAAAAAAATTGCAAAACATGGTACAGTAAGGACGCCATTTTGAATTTTTTAATTCGCCACTTTTTATTCGAAGCAGTATGAGCTGACGATTATTTTGAGCCGTAATAAGTTGATTTTCGTTGATTAGAATTTTGGATGGAGCTCTGGGTCGGTTGACGTGAAACGTCCCATATATATTTATATTTTCTTTTTGCATTAATAATGATGATTGTTTATTGAAAAAAAGATTTATTAATTAATTTTATCTTTCAAGAATTTAATATTAGATATATATGGTTTAATATGGCATTTTTTTCAGGACCAAAGGAATTCAACTATAGAGGACACAATTATTTCTTCAGTGGTCATGTACCACAGCATTCATCCCAGAGAGTTGATTGGTTAGATGCCAGGAACATCTGCAGGGAATACTGCATGGATCTTGTTTCCATAGAAACACAAGAAGAAAATAATATGGTTTTCAAACTCATTAAATCAAGTACGTGAAATATAATTTCTTATATATATATATAAAAAATCATGATTTTTGATTGAAAAAAAAACAAAATTTTTTTTATAAAAAGAAATTAAGGGTATGTGGGCAAAGGACGTTTTTTTGTGATTTGAAACTTTATCTGAAATAAAAAATGATTTCGGATTAAAATTTTGGAAAAATGAATTTTCATTTGTATATGAATTTCATTTGATAGAATTTCTATTTAGACGAATTTTCATTTTTCAAATTAGTACATTTGAGTTACTTTCTTTATAAACGAAATTTTATTTAACATATAGTTTTTAGGTACCGAATTTTAATTTAATATATAATTTTTATTTTACCAAATTTTTTGGTTATACAACTTTTTATTTTATAGAATTACAATTTAAACCAATTTTAATTTATCAATATTCTCATTCAGCAGAATTTTAGTGATTCGAATTGTATATAATGTCAGAATTTATAAACTATCGAATCTCCATGTGTCAGAATTTTTATTTGATAGAATTCCTAAAACAGCGAATTTTCATTTGATAGAAATTACAAATGTCCGAACAAACAAACGTCAGAAAGATTTCGGCGCAGTTTTTAAAATAGACCAATCAGAAATTATTAAGAAAATTGTGATTAGTTTATTTTAAAATTGGCGCCGAAATCTTTCTGAAGCTTGCTTGTTCGGCCATTTGTAATTTCGTGGTAATTTCTATCAAATAGAAATTCTCTGTTTTAGGGATTTTATCAAATAAAAATTCTGACACATGGAGATTCGATTGTTTATAAATTCTGACATTAAACAATTCGAATAACTAAAATTCTGTTAAATGAGAATTCTGATAAATTAAAATTGAGTAAATTTATAATACTTTTAAATAAAAGGTGGATAAAAAGAAATTCGTTAAAATAAAAATTATATTAAAAAAATAATTCGGTACCTAAAAATTATATTAAATAAAATTTCGTTTACAAAGAAAATAACTCAAATATTAATTCGAAAAATGAAAATTCGTCTAAAAAGAAATTCTGGCAAATAAAATTCTTACAAATGAAAGTTCTAGCTAATGATTTTTATGGGTTATTAATGCGCCCCCATACTAGGTCACGTGGGAGGTTCCCACATACCCTTAAGATATTTTTATTCTGAAAAATAAAGTTTTAAAATTAAACATTATCTAAATAATCAATAATCAAAATTTAAATTCTATTCCATCGCTATTGGGGTCAAATAATATTTCAAAGTCGTTGCGGCCTAATTAAAAAAAAATTGATACTTTAAGAAAATAATTTTGTATTATATGTAGGGAACGAAATAAAAAGGATTATGTTAAATTTTTTTTTTTTTTTGCTTCAAACATAAATGGAAAACTATTTCTAATTAATAATTATTTCATGAAAAAAAAAAATCAATAAAAAATTAATTAATTCTAAACAAGAAACAATAATTCTTTTTACACTTTTAAGACTTCTATATGCGTTTCTTTTAATATATTTTCTAATAGCCAAAAAATTGACAAATTTCTCTATCTCTTTCACTTCAAATTCATAATTTAAGAGAAATAATAAAAAAAAATTTAAGAATTTTTTTTATTTTCTATAAAATACAGAATCATTACTGAAAGTATTAATTTTTTTTTTAAATTACATTGCAACGATTTTGTTCTAGGTAAAATCTAGTTTCAATAAATTTTAATCGTTTTTGTGAATTATTTTTTTAAAAAAAAAGTTGATTTCAACAATGAAAATTTTTAAAAATAAATTATTTTTGAAAAAAAATTATTATTTTCCATTACAATGAGAAAAATCTAGTTTCAATATTTTTATTTTATTGTCTTTGCGAATTTTTGAAAAAGTCGATTTTAACAACAAAAATTTTTATAAATCAATTTTTGAAAAAAAAAAATTATTTTCCATTAAAATTAATTTAAAATAGTAGGAAAAAAATCTACTATTAATATTTTTTTTTATCGTTTTTTGTAAATTTTTTAAAATGTCGATTTTGAAATTAAAAATTTTTTTGAAAATAATTTATTTTTGAAAAAATTATTATTTTCCATTAAAATTTTAAGTTAAAATAGTAGAAAAAATTTTCAATAATTTTTTTTTTTGCGAATTTTTGAGAAAGTCAATTTTAATAAAGAAAAAAATTTTTTTTTTCTTACACAATCACGCGTTATGAAATTTCATTTATAATCGTTTAATGTCAGTTTTGTTGTGATGATTCATGATAAAAATGTTGTTAATTGTGAATGTGTGAATAACCCCTTAGTAAGAAACATGAATACACATTTTTCGAGAGACACTTTAATTTTTTTAATATCATATTCTTTTGAATTTTTATTATAATATAATTTAATATTTAATTAATTTCTATGTAAATTTGAATTATATCATAAATAATTACGTCACTCATGTAAAAGTTAAAATCACTATTCAATTATAACAATAATTTATATATATACAAATTTATTTTTATTATTATATATAAAAATACTTTTACTGTGATACATTTTATTTATTTTATTTTTTCTTAATTTTTGTAAATTTTTGTATAAAAAATTTTTATACTTTCTTCATTTTCTGATTTAAAATTTAATAATTTCTTCTTCTTATATTCACGAGTTATTAAATTATTTTTATAATCATATTTAAATCGTTATTTTAGCTATTCTCAACCGCGAACCTCTTTCTTATTCCATTTAAATAATTTATCGTTATATAGAATATTAAGAAATCCTCACGAACAAGGTCGTTGCTTATTTAAGAAAACCAGAAGTGGAAACATTAAAATTTTTTTAAAATAAAATTAAACTTTCATCTCTTAATTTATACAATATTTTAAAATATAAATTTTTATTCATTATTATCATATTGAATTTGTTTTTCTCATATTTGTTTTTTTTTGTTTTTTTTTTTTTTTTTTTGAAATGAATTAAAATTTATTTTCCATATAAGTGGTGATAAAGATAAATAAAAAATTTTCGAACCTTTTTTATAGGACTTTTAAATATATATTTTAATAAAAATGATTTGCTATTATAACGTTTAGATAATTATTATTAATGTTCGTAATTATTTTCTTATATTGCTATAAATTCCTATATACATACATTGTTTTACATATAAATGAATATTTTAATAAAATTATCAGACATAGTTTTCATACATAAATATACTTTTCAATTAAAATAAAATTGATGAGACAAGCTATTTCTTATATATTTTAAAGATCTAATCAATTTGTTGAATCAACTTTGCATAAAAAAATGTTGAAAAAAAAATGTGAGAATTCTGATCTCAGTGAATTTCTATAAATTCTTCTAAGCTGCTAAATGACAAAGTATGTAAAATAATAAAAAAAAAAAAAAAAAAAAACGCAGTCCTGCGAGGATATTTATCCACGCAATTATTCACTCATCCGTTAGCATATAATCTTATCACTGTTTTCGCACAATTTCATTATAAATTATGAATATTATGCCACCGTGAAGGCGATAGAAGAATCCGAGGTAGATGAGATCAGAAGTGATAGTAGAGTATGAAAAGCGTGTCTTTTGATATCTCTTAAAGTTTTTAAATGTGACGTCAAACTGCCAAGGTAATATATATGTGGGGAGTCTTTTCAAAGTGGGTTGAGGCTAGAGAGTCGCTTCTTTTTTTATATAATCGCATCTCTTCTTCATGCGTTAATATCACCATCAACGATTTCAAAAAAAAAAAAAAAAAAAAAAAAAAAAAAAAAAAAAAAAAAAAAAAAAAAAAGAACACCAAGGTGAAATCAATTTCACTCATTCAGATGCTGCGACAATTTCATATAATATACTTTCTCGCGCTCGCATTATTTCTACTGCATCGCAAGGTTAAAGCGCAAAATAGGTGGTTAACCGCTAATCTTTTGTATTCTTTTCATCTTTAATTGTGGAAAAAAAAATCTCACTAGGTATTTCTGTTTCGAAAAGAATTTACATAAAAAGCTTTCTCTTGAGAAAGGAAAATTATTATAAATTGAATGTTAAAATAAAAAATAAATTAAGAAACATTTTTTTTTTTATAAACAAAAATATTAATTAAAAATTAAATTATTTGTATTAATGGAATTCATTTTTAATCCATTTTATCAAAAATTTTGTTTTTCAAAGCTTTTTAGATGAGAAATTTATTTTTGTTTGGCTGAAAATATTTTTTTTTTTTTACAAAATTATAACGAATTTAATTTTTTCAATTCGGAATCGTCGTTTATTTTAAAATTAAAAATTTTTTTTAGTGTGTAAATTTTAAAAAATATGCCCTCAAATTTTTTTGTCAAATATTTTTTTGGGCAAATGAAAGTTCTGTAAAATAAAAATTTGTTTTTGTTTTTAAATATGTTCAGGCCTCGGATCGACTTAAAGGTACAAAAAAGTCGTTTTAGTCGATTTAAATTCCAAAAAAAAGTCGAAAAAGTCGATTTTTTTTATTTTAACAAAAAAAAGTTTTATAGATTTTTAAATAAGAAATTTTTTTTTTAAATAATAATAATAATTTTGGATGAGTTAAAGTTAAAATTTTTAGAAATAATTGAATTTCAAAAGATTTTGTTAATTTTCAAACATTAATTAAATTTTACAGAACTAAAAATAATTTATCAAATAATTTTAGATAACATTTTTTAAAAGTAGGTAATTGAATTTTTTATAGATTTACAATTGAGATTTTTGAAATTAATTCAACTTCAAGTGATTTTTAATTACAAAATTTTTGATGATTTCACTAAAAAATTGATTAGAAATTGTGGACATAAATACAATGGGAAAACCATTTTTTTAAAAATAGTTTCAGGTAGTTGGATTTTCGAAGAATATTAAAAAAATAGTTAAAAATAATTGAATTTTAGGAGAGTTATTATAAGAATTATTAAATTTCAAAAACTTTTAAATGGAAAATTTTAGAATCTTTTAAATTGAATTTTTTGAAAATAATTGAAATTTAATTGAAAAGTTTGAATATAATTGAATTTTAGTTGATTTTGGATTGAAAATTTTGATAATTAATTTTAAATTGAAATTTTGGATAATAATTTAATTTTTGTTGATTTTTGGTTGTAAATTTTGATAATAATTGAATTTTAATTGATTTTGAATTGAAAATTTTTGAAAATAATTGAATTTTATTTGATTTTTAATTGAAAATTTGGAAAATAATTGAATCTTAAAAGAGTTTGGAATTGAAAATTTTTAAAATAATTGAAGAATTTATTAAAAATTACAGACAAGAATTGAACTTAAAATTTTTGAAATTTTAAAATTTTTTAATTGCAAAATGCTTTCAGATAATTGAATTTTCGACGAATAATATTATTATTATTATTATTTGTGATGAATTTCATTAAAATTATTAAAAATAATTAATTTAGTGAAGAATTTTATTTAAAAATTTGTTAAATAATTGAAACAAAGTAGATCTGAAGAAGATCTGCATTTCATACAAAAAAAAATGTATTTTGTTTAAAAATTTTGTAAAGAAAAGTCGAAAAAGTCGCATTTTATTAAGATAAGTCGATAAAAGTTGGAAATAGTCGAAAAAGTCGTATAATCCGAAGCCTGAATATTTTTTAATTTTTCTACCGAATTTTTAAGAATTTTTAGCCCATTAACATAACTTCAAAAAGAAAAATTTTGTTTAATTTAACAACAAATATAAAATATTTAATATTAATTCTATCAAATTTTGAAAGATTTAGTTTGTAGAATTTTTCAAATGCTCTTTAAAATATTTTCTACATAATTCTGTTTGTTGAATTTTATTAACAATTTTTTTTAATTGAAAAGTAAAAAAAATATAACATATATTTATTTTGACTCAAAATATATTTTTTTTTTGTTTTTTGAAAATTGTACAACTACATCTTTCAAAATTTGGTGTAATAAATTTTAAATATATTTTTAGTTTTGTAAAAAATCATTTTTTAGTTTGAGATTATTTAACGGGGCTAAATACCCTTAAAGAGAAATAAAAGATCTTCCAAGTTCAAAAATAAGATTTTTTTTCTTAATTTTTTGATAAACGACGATTCCGAATTTAATTTAAATTAAAATTTAATTCTAACTTTGTAAAAAAAAAAGCTTTGAAAAACAATATTTCGGAGAAGAAAATTAATTTTCAGCTCCGTCGATGTTTATCTAATTTAACAATTTTTCTAATTAATTTCTTTTTCACTCACTTGTAGATGACGTGCCCTATATTTGGACATCCGGTCGTCTCTGTGACTTCAAGGGCTGTGAAAATCGTCGTGACTTGGAACCAAAAGCAATCAATGGATGGTTCTGGTCGGCAAATAGAGCAAAATTAGCAGCAACAAATCTTCTTCCCAATGGTTGGACATATAATCCATGGTCAAAAACAGGCCACAAGAAACAACGTCAACCTGACAATGCTGAATTTGACATTAATCAAACGACAGAATCTTGTTTGTCCGTTCTCAATAATGTTTATAATGATGGAATTGCTTGGCACGATGTTGCTTGCTATCATGAAAAACCTTTCATTTGCGAAGATTCCGAGGAGCTTTTGAATTATGTCGCAGGCACTAATCAAGGAATTCGTCTTTAATTTCAAATCTTCATAATCCGCTTCTTATCATCTTCAAATCTTTTTTATTGTTTTTTTTCCAAACTATCAAGATTTCGTTTCCTTCAATATATATATATATAGATTTTTTTACTTTGAGTTTTTATTCGTTTTCTTTTTATATTCAAATAATTCATTACTTTACTTCCTATCAATTTCTATTTTAATTTTCTTTTTTTTTTATCAATTTCTGTTTTAAGAATTTTTTTTTTTTTAAGATTAGCGAGAGATGATCCTTTTGTGAGTGATCAGCAATCCAACATGTGTTTCATAGCTGTAGAAATCACAATATTCTCAGAGAGAAAAGAAAACTACTTTTATACTTCAGTTTTTATATGTAATATGATCGATTAAAAAAAAAAAAGAAGAAAATTATTGATAATGTACACATATTTATTGATATTCACTGATTCGTCTCTTGTATAAATAAATTGTGACTTATAAGGAGAAACGAAAGATATTTTTTTTTTTTACATCATATAGAAGATAAGAGACAAATTGTACCTAATAAAAATAAAGGATTTAGTACACATATATTTCCTTTTAGTTTTTCTATGAAAAAAAAGAATTATTTTTATCAAACCTTGTTTTTTTTTCTAACTAAAATTATTCGTTGTCATTAGCAGCGATTGATATGTCATCGCTTACAGGTTCATCACCACCAAATGATTCAACTGATTCTGGTTCTGAGTCATTTGGTGAATTAATAATTTGCAAATTTGCCTTTCGTCTCACCATTGGTTTACGTTTATTATCAGAAGTCATTTTTCGATTTGAAAATTTCTTTCGTCGCGGTAATGATGTTGGATCTGGAAAATGAAAATTTATCATCAATTAAATAGATGAAAAAAAAAAAATTATTGAAAAAAGTGTAAAATTGATTTTTGTAATTTTTGTTTTAACGTACGATCTTCTGGAATGTTATTTTGTTTACGGAGTTCGGCACGAATTTGTCGATTGATTATTTCTCGACATTGTGCATCAAAACCACTAGGTAACCAGCCTAATTTTATGTCACATTTCGTTCCAGCCAAGGGTTTTGGAAGTTTTCTTAACATTTCTTGAATTTCTTCCACATGAATGTCGCAATACTATTGAAAAAACAAAAAAAAACATTTAAAATTAGAAAAAATTCAAAAATTTCGAAAATATTTTTAGCTTTAACAATATTTTTTATAACGAACCATATAAAACATCTGTCGAGAGGGAGGAATGACACCTTCTTTATAGATATAAACATTTTCGTTTAAATTGCGTTTTTTCTTTAGTGTCTCTTGACTAAAATTTGGTGAGAGAATCGTTGTTTTTTGCTTGGAAACTGGAGTCGATTTGTATGGCAAATTATATTCGGAATAATTTCTTTTACATTTGACAGTGGCTCCCAAACCATCTGAAATATTTTTTTTCTCGTTTAAATAAAATTTAATAAAAAAAAGTAATTAACAAAAAAAAAAAAAAAATGGAGACTTTAAATCGTAATTTGAAGAAAGTATAGATGAAGTATCCAAAAAGTATAATTGTGGTTGAATGAAAAATACCCAACATAATAAAATTGAATTCATCAGTTAAATGTATAAGAAAATAATATAATTTTAAAAAATAATCGATTTTAAAATTATTTAAATCATTTAATAACTGAGTATAAGAAATAATTAATTTTTTTATAACTAAAATTTGAAAAATTAAATTAAACAAAAAAAAATTTATTCTGAACATGAATTAAGTGGAGAGACCGATGAAATTTCAACTCATCGAAATTAATGTTGTCAGTTTTTTTTCTGCCATTATTTGGGATCTAAAATTATTGTGAATTATTAAAATTAAAAAAAAAAATTTTTTCACTATTTTAGAAATTTTTTTGTTTGAAAATATTAAAATATTTTAAAAATCCATACGATTGATTGTTCAGAATCAAGAAAAAAACCTACAAAAAAATTTCCGATCAAAAATTGTGGAAGAAGTTGAATTTTTAAAGAATAATTAATAAAATTTAAACCAAGCATAATTGGTTTTGTTTAGAGGTATTAATTCAAAAAAAAATTTTTAAACCTGAAATCATATTTCACTATATGAAAAATGAAAAAATAGTAATCTTTAACAATTTAACAATTTTTCTTTTATTTTTTAAAAAATTGAATTTTCTCAAAATCCATACGATTGATTGTTCAGAATCATGAAAAAAGTGTATTAAAAAATCTGCAATAAAAAAGTAATAAAAATTGACATAGAAGTTTAAATTAGTTTTTTAAAATTTCGAGTTTTATTTAAAAAATTATGAATGAATTAATTGTTTTTGTTTTTAAATATATTCAGGCCTCGGATCGACTTAAAGGTACAAAAAAAGTCGTTTTAGTCGATTTATATTCAAAAAAAAGTCGATTTTTTTTATTTTAACAAAAAAGTTTTATAGATTTTTAAATAAAATTTTTTTTTTTAAATAATAATAATAATAATATTGGAAGAGTTAAAGTTAAAATTTTTAGAAATAATTGAATTTCAAAAGATTTTGTTAATTTTCAAACAATAATTAAATTTTATAGAACTAAAAATAATTTATCAAATAATTTTAGATAACATTTTTTAAAAGTAGGTAATTGAATTTTTTATAGATTTACAATTGAGATTTTTGAAATTAATTCAACTTCAAGTGATTTTTAATTACAAAATTTTTGATGATTTCACTAAAAAATTGATTAGAAATTGTGGACAAAAATACAATAATGGGAAAACCATTTTTTTAAAAATAGTTTCAGGTAGTTGAATTTTCGAAGAATATTAAAAAAAATAGTTAAAAATAATTGCATTTCAGGAGAGTTATTATAAGAATTATTAAATTTCAAAAACTTTTAAATGGAAAATTTTAGAACCTTTTAAATTGAAATTATTGAAAATAATTGAAATTCAATTGAAAAGTTTGAAAATAATTGAATTTTAGTTGATTTTGGATTGAAAATTTTGATAATTACTTTTGAATTGAAATTTTCGATAATAATTTAATTTTTGTTGATTTTTGGTTGAAAATTTTTATAATAATTAATTTTGAATTAAAATTTTTGAGAATAATTGAATTTTAGTTGATTTTGAATTGAAATTTTTGAAAATAATGGAATTTTTTTTGATTTTTAATTCAGATTTTGGAAAATAATTGAACCTTAAAAGAGTTTGGAATTAAAATTTTTTAAAATAATTGAATTTCAATTGAAATTTTGGAAAATAATAAAATTGTAAATAATTGAAGAATTTATTAGAAATTACAGACAAGAATTAAACTTAAAAATCTTCTTCATTTCAAAATGCTTTCAGATAATTGAATTTTCGAAGTATATTATTATTATTTGTGAAGAATTTCATTAAAATTATTAAAAATAATTAATTTAGTGAAGAATTTTATTTAAAAATTTGTTAAATAATTAATTTATTGAAGAATTTTATTTAAAAGTTTGTTAAATAATTGAAACAAAGTAGATCTGAAGAAGATCTGCATTTCAATAAAGGGCATATCTTTGAAACCTTTAACTTTTTAATAAGAAAATTTTTTTTTTTTTTAGCACAGTATTGAAACTCTGTCTACATAAACTTCAAGAACTAAGCTTTCCAATTATACAAGTGGACAGATAAAACAAGTTGTCTTCAAAAAGTTATAAATATTTAAAATTGAGAATTATTTTTAACCTGTAACAAAAAAATATTCAACAGGTGTTTGCTTTTTAGGATAAAAAACAGTTGAAGGGAATTTTCTAAGGGGTTATAATTTTAAAAAGCAATAAAATTTGTTTAATATTTTCAATATTTATATGAATAATAAAATACTGAAATAATGCACTGGGTATAAAAGCATGTGTCAAAAATTAACTAGATATATAAATTTTTTATATGAATATTTACATTACATTTTAAAATAGATTTTTATTATAGTGAATTGTTTTAAAAATGTAAAATTGTAATTTTTAAAATTTACCATACGATTTTCATAGACTTTTTTCTATTTAAATTTAATATTCGTAAACTTTCCAATTTCTTTTCTCTTTTTCTTTTCTCTCGCATCTTATCTTTTTTCAGAATGAATTGTTTTGGATCCATTTTTTTGTCTCGAAATAAACATTAAAACTTAACCTTCAGGTTTTAATAATTAATGACAGTTTCTATAAAAAAAATTATAATCGGCAACTTCGTACATAACAATTTCTTTCTAAAAAATTTCGGTCGATTACGGTCGACCGTAATTGATGAATATTTTTACATTATCTTTGCAATAAAGTATTTTTTCTCGAAGCACATTCACGGGATGTTAAATGGCACATGTGAAAATATATACAAGTACTTTTCGAATACTTTTATATGATTTTCATCAAGTATCACTCGTATTACGGTTGTTTTCAAATTTTGTCCACACGTGTTTTCGTTTATTTAACTTATAATAGTTTTTTGAAGACATGAAGCACATCAATTTATTATGTCTCAAAATAATTATAGTAACTTGATCTTTGATTTCCCATAAGTTATTTTAACGTGCCGCTTGTCTTATAAAAGAAAAATCATAAATACGATGATTACGGTCGAAAAGGTTAAAAGTGAGGGACAACTTTTAAAAGCTTATAAATTTTTTCACAATTAATAAAATATTAATTTCCCTGCGAAAATGTGTTCCCCGATTAATTAACATTGAAAAAACATATTTCAGAATTATTAATTTTTGTTAAATCTAAAACTATATCGTTTAAAGCATCAGAAAGTATGGTTAAGGACAAGTAGACATTGTTAAAAATCGCGTATTAAAATTGAAATAATTATTTATGTATTTAATAAATTAAAGTGGAATCTTTTGGAAATGATTGATTGTATCAAGCATTAATATTTCCAACAAAAACCAACGAAAAATTTATTAAAATTACCAAAATATATGCGAGGGACATTAAAGTTAAAGGTTCTAGAGATATGCCCACAAAAAAAACGTATTTTGTTTAAAAATTTTGTAATAAAAAATGTAAAAAAAAAGTCGAAAAAAGTCGTATTTTTGAAAAAAGTCGGAAATAGTCGAAAAAGTCGTATAATCCGAAGCCTGTACATTACAGTTTTAAATACTTAATATTGACAAAAAAAAAAAAAATTGACAATTTTGTTTAATTCAATAAATTACAAATAAAAGAAAATTTTCTTACGCATTGCTTTTAGTCGATAGTCCAAAGTTTGATATTTCCTTGCAGTTGAATCTTTTCTTGGATCGTAACCAAGTTTCACCCACATAACACGCCATGGACCAGTGAGAAAATAATAAGCAACTGAGGGCAATAAAATTTTTAATTGATCACTAGTGAAATTTGTTTTATGCATTAATGCATTTTTTGACCATACTGGACGTTCTTGGAATAATTTTTCAATTTTTTCCAAATGAAAATTTTGTAAAAATTTCACTCTCATTGCCGTATCAATGCCAATTGGTGGTTTAAATGGAACTTCAGGATCAGTGAAATTAACAAAATTCGTAAATCCATGACGTCGTTTTCTCGTTTTTCCAATAACATTCATTGGCTCTGAATCTAAAACAGTTTTTGGCACATACTGTTGAACGCTGACCATTCTACTGAATGCTGCCGGTGGTAAAAAATATGGCACATCAACGTCTAACCATTTAAAACGTGGTATGTCCATTGGATAAATTTTATTGTATATACATTCCTCCTCGTTTGTTTGTGGATTTTTTGTTATTGGCAAATATTGAAAATCGCATAAATCTGAAATATATCCAAATATAATAATTGCCAGTTATTTTTTTATAATGTAATATACATATATATATATATTTTTTTTTCAATAAAATAAAAGATATAATTGATTTTTTTTTGTATACTTGTGAATTTAAATTCCGTGTCGACTCGTCCTAAAACTTTTAACTTTGGCAATTGATAATTTTGATCGGAAGATAAATTTTCATATTTTTGTCTATCGAAAGCAGGTGGAATATTTTCTGGTGCACCATAAGGATTATTTTTATTATTCTCATCGTTATCGGAATTATTTACATTACTATGTTTTCTAGTATTTTGTGTATTAGTTTGTTGTAATAATTCATTATCATTTACTTGAACGGCTCTCGATTTTTTTACTCTCACACGTAATAAAAAACCACATGTATTATTTCTATCGCCACATGCTGGTTTACTGTAACCATCTTCTGGTCTAAATCGCAATTCTAATCGTCTATTATTTACATCAACTGCCTGAAAAAAAAGAGAATATTTATTATATACAATAATTATAATAATGAAAATATTTTTTATTTAATTTAAATATTATTTACTATAAAAAAATTTTAAGAATAAAAAAATTATATATATATATGTTTTTTTTAAATATAATTTATGAAAATACCTTTGATATTCCATTAAGTCCTCCTAGTGTTTTGATTGCATTGTCAGGATTTATTACATTTCCCGGATATTTAATGCAAATTAATTTACGATCAAATCTATGACCACCGGGAAGAATTGCGCCAGTAAATTCTTTGGCACTTTCAATAACTCTTAAATATGGTCTTTTACTTTTTTGTGAAGTTGAAGTACTAGGACCCTAAAGATTAATTAATTTTTTAAACTAATTTAAAAATTAAATTAAAATTTAAAAAAATTTTAAACTAGATTTGTTTCTTTATTTAATATACTTGTGTAACAATGCTTAAGAGAGTTGAGTTTTACTCGCAGACAAAATTAACAAAATAAAAATATAAAAATAATAAATAATAAAAAAAAAAAAAAAATTTTCTGAATAAAAACAAAAAATTAATAATTACTATAGAAATATTTAATATTTACATTAAATAATTACAAAAACACAGATAAAGAAATAATTATATTTTTTTCACTTTCCTATCAATTTTTTTTTCTTTTCTTTATAATTTATTTTATAATTTTTATTTATTTATCTTTAAAATATTTTTGATATCTTTTTTATATATATATATTGTTACTTCTTTTTTGACTTTTTAATTTTTTGTACGATTTTCTTATTTTATATTAAATAACATTAAATTATTTTAGAATTTATAATTTCTTTGTTTGGTATTTATATTTTTTGATAAACTCTCATGAAGTAAAAAAAATAAACTCCAATTTTGATTAAAATTATTTTTCCGAATATTTTCTTTTATTTTCATAATTTTTCTTTATAAATAAATAAATAAATAAATAAATAAATAAATAAATAAAAAATATATAAATCATACTTCGAATTTAATAAAAAAAAAAAAGATTGAAAATTTAATTTTGAAATTAAAAAATTCAATTATATTCAAAACAAAACAGAATGAACATAACCTTAAAACAAAATCTAAATTTATTTTCTATTTCATTTAGTGAATAAATTTTTGATGGAAACAATGTACTTACATCTTCGTCGATGTTTAAATCTTCATTTTCAAAAACCAAAGAATCTTCACTATCAATTTCATTTTGACAATCCTCGAGTGTAAAATCTTTGTCCTTATCATTTTCATATTCATTTAGATCACTTTCAATTGATTCATTTGACTCACTCATATTTTCTCTTTATTGTAAATAATAAATAATTACATTGATAAATTAATTATTATTAAAGTTTATTGTTTATTTACAGTTATACTAAAAAAAAACACGCATATATATAGTTATTAAATTAAGGTTATGTTATTAACTGACAGTACCGGGTGATGATTAATGTTGTTGGCAACACTGACTTTGCAATATGTAATAGAAGCTTTCAAGAAAGTAAGGTTGGTTGCCATTCTACAGGCACTTTTTCACAATGTAAATGATTCACGTAGTCACAAGTGTTTTTTTAAAAAATGAAACCCGGTAAATGGATAATAATTATAATGTTAATATAATAAACATTTTATTTCAAACTAAGATTAAAAAAATTAAAATTTAAAAATTATTTTTGTAATTAAAAAAAACAATTTTAAAAAATTTATTATTGATACCTATTTTGTTTCAATTAATTTTTATTAATTTATTATAAATTAATAAAAAAAATTATAATAATTTTTTTGATACATTAAACACTTTTAATTGTTAATATTAAAAGAAATAAAAAAATAATTATTTACAATTAAATTTAAAAAGTGTCCTTCTTTAAAAAAAAAAAAATAATAATAATTTTACTGAAAAGTTCATGCTAATTAAGAAAGATGGCACATCATTATTTTGTATATTAAATTTCGTTATCAAATGATTCGGAACTATAATGAATCATTGCGAGTTCAATGAAGGTCATAAATGTCTATTAAAAAGGGAGAAAAAAAGTTATGAATTTTCGAGTGACAAAAATTATTATTCCATTTATCATCAAATTTTCCTGACATGGAAAAAATCAATTTAATGGAAAATGTCAATTCAAATAATAATAATAATAATTTTTCTCCTACTATTCAAAATTCATTAATACCAAGTGAAAGAAGCAACATTAATTTATTGTGCTGTAGAATTTGTTTTGAAGGTAAAATAAAATAATTTACAATATACTCAAATAATATTTTTCATAGTAAATTAATTATATATATTTTTAATTTAATGAAAATTCGCAATTTTAATTATTATATTAATATTAAAATTACATTTATTATATTTACATTAAAATTATACATAAATTATTTTTATTTTAAAATTACGTTAATAAAAAAAATTATATATTTACATTATTATTAATAGTAATAATTTAAAAAAATAAATAATATATTTTTATTTTTTTTTTAAGATGAAAATTCTGGTGAGTTAATTGATCCTTGCCAATGTTCAGGTTCATTGAAACTTGTGCACACGAAATGTTTAGAAAAATGGCTTTCAATTTCAAATACAGATCGTTGTGAAATTTGTAAATACAATTTCCCAATAGAGAAGAGGGACAAACCTATTATCGAAGTAAGTATTTGTTTTCTAATCAATAAACATTAATGAATGATTCTTCTAAAAATGACCATTCAAATGTTCAATGTCAATATTAGAAAAAGCTGATTAATATTTCTTTCATGATAATTAAAGTACCTATATTTCAATTTAATAATTAATTAATAAATTCAATAATTTGTACATTAAATATATTAAAGTTCGAAATTTATTCTTCATTTTTGTATGGAAAAAAATGAAAATTATTTTTTTTTTTTTAAATAATATCCATATATATTTTAAAAAAAATACACTTGTTTTTTTACATAAAAAAAAGTATAAAAAAATCGGATCCAATGTTTAAATAATTTATTTGTTTGTAAAAAAAAATTATTATTTTTTGTATAAAAATTTAAAAAAAATTTTTCGATAACATATTTCGAAAGTCGAGCAAAAAATTTAAGCTTTTTTTTCTCTTGGCAAAAATTCAATACTTTTGGAGTTAGATGCCATTAAAAATACCCAGATATCACATTAGCTTGCAGCAACTTTGTAGCAAACTTGCCGCGCAATATTGCCAACCTTACACGCCAAAATTGCCGTAAGCTTCAAATGTCCCAGCTGACCGAAAGCTTGCATGGTAAGCTTTCCGAAAGATTGCAGTGTAAGGTTACTTCCTGAAATGCTCCGTAAGCTTGCACGGTAAACTTGTAGAAAAGTTGGTGCAAGGTTGCTAAATAACCTATTGCTTTAAACCTAAATAAATTTTTTTCTCAATATTTCGTCTATTTTATATAATTAAATTTATATAATAAAATTTTTATAATAAAATTATATAATAAAATTTATAAAATAAAATTATATAAATTAAACGAAATATTAAAAAAAAAATAATTTTTTTAGGTTCAAAGTAAGGTTATTTGACAAACTTGCACCAACCTTGCTACAAGCTTACTGAGCAATCTTGCGATAATCTTATTATGCAATCTTGCAGTAACTTTACACTGCAATCTTTCGGTAAACTTACCATGCAAGCTTTCCGTTAGGTGGGACATTTGAAGTTTGCGGCAAGGTGCAAGGTTGGCAATAATGCGTGGCAAGCTTGCCGCAAGGTTGCTGCAAATCTGGGTAAATATAACCAAAAAAATGTTGGGAGCTTAGGTGCCTTTTGTCACGGAGCGTCACTTTGGTGTGGAATACATCATATGTAAATAAATAAATATTTTTACAAAACATGAAATAGTTACAAGAACACACAATAATAGAAATATTTTATAAAATACGCCCAATCAAAAATTTACACCGAAAAAAATAAGTTCTTAATTTTAGAGGATTCCTCTTCTTTTGACGCATTTTTTCCTCTTATATATGAGCACTAAAGTATTCATATCTAATTAAGAGGATTTTCCTCTTCTATATTTTGAGAGGAATAATCTCAAATACAGAGATATTCATCCTACGTTAAGTTCAGAAATGTCAATCTTCTTTATTTAATTAGAAGAAATTATATGGGTTAGTTCACCCTTTAGAACTTGGATTTATTTATTTATAGGAAAGTAAATCATTTTAGAGAACGAAACATGGTAAAAACACGATTTTCTATTTAATAAAAATACTAAAAAATTTTTTAGTTTATGAAAAATACTTTTAACTTAGGTTAATTTTAAAATAAAATGAATAGTATGCAAATGAAAAAGTTTATGAATTATTTACATAATAATTTTTATTTACTTCCTTCCAAAAAATCGAAAAAGTATAAATTTATAAACATTCCTACAAATAAAAATATGGAAGAGAAAAATTCATTCTTATTTTTATTTATATAAAAATGAATATATTTTTAAAATAATATTTATAGATTATGATGCTGAAAAAATTTAATTCTAACTGTAATATTACAAAATTCTAATCATAGAAAGAATAGGGGTTAAACACATTGACATTAATTTATTACGAAGCTGTAAAATGAAAAATTCTGTAATTTTTTGCCTAAAAAATATTTCTTGTAGTTTTCATTAATCAGCAAATTATAAAAAAAATATTTTTTAGGCAAAAAATTATAGAATTTTTATTTTAAAAAATCGTTTATCATAAACGTTGCGCACTTCAGCTTCGTAATTTATTATAATAACATTATTGATTATAAGTAATTAATATTATTTTCAAAACTACAGATGTAATTTGTTAGTCCCACTTTACATAGAAGGTTTCTTAGTGGGATGTCCATTATTTATTTTTTAACTGTCAGTTTTGGAACAGTTTAAAGGTATGCGTAAAAAAACAAAAAACTATATTTCTAGAGGAATAATCTCAATTATAGAAAAAAAATCTCAATTGAAAAAGAATACTTTTAATCGAAAAAGAAAGATTAAAAGTAATCATCTAACCAAAATGTTCTTAAATAAAAAAAAAGAATCCTCTATTTTTTAGATGAATATTCATATATTGAAAATAAAATGTAAAAGTAAATGTTGAGAGGAATTTTCTTCTCATTTTAAGATTTTATTTTTTTCGGTGTACTAATGGCGCAGTACTGGCGCAGTACTGGCACGCAGTATTGGCGCCAGAGTTGGCGTAACTTTGGGATGATAACATTTTATCAGTATTGGCTACCAGAGTTGGCACCAGTACTGGTAATCCACTGCTGGTTCAGTACTGGCCGAGTACTGGCAGTTTTGTAATTTATTGTATACGAAAAGAAAGCTTTAACTGTAACAAAGATAAGTTGCACTGCAATAGTGAAATCTCTGCTCCAGGTAATACTTTTTTGGTATACTTAGGAAAAAGTGTCTGGAATTTTTAGTAACCCAAGACAAATTAAATATTAATTAAATTAGTCAACTAATTAATATTTTATTATATAAAATTGAAAACACAAAGAATTTTTATTCTTTCTTATAATATATATTGCGAATTATTAGTTTAAAAAATCAGCCTAAATTCGCACCTAGGCAGTGGAATTTAACTGAGAATCAGTCGTTTTTACTGATTCCCAGTGAAATACCACTGGTAAATTAAAGAAAACTGAGCCACTGATTTGAATTCAGTGAAATTTTCACTGATTCAGATTTAGAGTGTGAGCCAGTAATTATTAAAAAAAAATTTTCTAAATTATTTATAAATTAACATTAAATTTTTATTTATAATTCACTTTTGGAAAAAAACTGAAGAATAACATCTAGAAACAAATTATAATAATTTTATTGACCATTGAAATATATATAAGTTTGTAGGTTTAACTATTTTTTTATAATTTCTATTAAGGAAGTTTAATTATATATTTTATATTATTAATAATATAACATTTGTGCAATTTTACTTGCGATTGTATTTAATTTTTTAAATTAAATTCATATAGTATAAATTTTATTTTGAAAAATATTAATTTTTTATAAACAAATTTATTTATTTTTAGTTTGATCTGTTAAAATTTTGTTTGGTTTATTGCATATTTGAAAACAAATAGAAAATCTTGCAAAATATTTTAGACTTGGTCTCAGGAAACTTTTTGATTAAATAATTTTACCCACATAAAAGCAAAATAAAGTACATATTTTAATTTTGAAAAATAAAATCAAGTTGAAAAAATTTTGATGAACAAAACATTTAAACAAAAAGATTCATCGGCTGCACTCTAGAACTTTTTTTTTTTTTTTTTTTGTACTGGGAGGGTGGTACTGCAACAGTACTGGATACAATGAAAATACCAGTACTGGTTCAGTACAGACTTCCCAGCCTCGGCAGCCAATATTGAACCAGTACTGCGCCAGTAGTCAACTCTGGTATAATACTACCCAAGAAGCACGTAATATAACCTCAATGTCAAGGTAATATTACATGTAAGATTCGTAATATAACGTTGTAATATTACAGTAATCTTACAGCGATCTTAAAATGTCCGCCTCAAGGTAATATTACCGGTAATGTTACTGTAATATTACGCGCTAATATTAAGGTAATATTACAGTAATATTGCAGTAATATTATACCGTAATATTAAGGTAATATTACAAGAGAATATTACAGTAATATTATGGGAACATTTCTTTACGAAAAAAATCTACCCATCCAGGGAATCGAACCCCGAACTCAAAGCACACGAGTCCAGAGTTTTACCAACAAGCCAAATTGACTTATAATATTTTTACGTTTTTTATGCTTTATGAATAACTCAAATCAGTCTGTAATATTACTGTAATATTACCGTTAATATTACAGTAATATTCCCGGTAATATTACCTTGAGGCGGACATTTTAAGATCACTGTAAGATTACTGTAATATTACAGCGTTATATTACGAATCTCACGTGTAATATTACCTTGATATTGAGGATATATTACGTGCTTCTTGGGTAAAATTTTTGGTTGGGACAATTTCATAAAAAAATTTTCAATTATACCTAATATTTTATAAATATACTTGTAAAATGTCTTTATTAAATATCTAAAAATTGAAAAATATTATGTATGTATTAGTCAATATGGCTGTGGTGGAAGGCAACACGAATTTACAGATGGAGAGGAATCGTTGCAGATATAATCTGTTTAATTGTTTTGACACCACTTTGTTTAGCAGCTTCTTACATGTGTGGTGTAGGGGCCACAATATATTCACATATGAAAATTTGGGAAGGATTCGGATTAGCAATTTTATGTTGCTTATTAATGGGAACATATTGTCTTTGGCTATTTATTATATTAAGGTACTTTCATTTTTTTTACAGCCAAATAATTTTTATTTGAATTAAATAAATTTTATTTCAATCAATAATTTCTGTATTTGAAAGAAAATATCATTTCAAATAATAATATTATTTGATACAATAATAAATATTTATTTTAATAATAGTCAAGTAATTGAATATTTGAATTAAATAATTTTTTTTTTCAGTGTAATGATAAATATACCTATTATAATTACTGCTAATTATTATATAATTATACTAAAATTGTGAGAAATAATAAAAAGTTTTTTAGGTTTCATTATAAATCTTGGAGACACTGGTGTAATCTTAATCAGGATATAACACTTTTAGTGAAGCATCGAGATCCGAATCAGTCACAAAACTTGGAAATTCAATTGAAACGAAATAATCGTGAAAATGAGGAAAATTCTAATCTCCCTATGAATTCTATAATTCCTTGGTTTTGCACTTATCATAGATTCGACTATATGTTTAATGTTCATATGAATACCAGTTATGTTTGATCTGAATTTTTCCTTCTTATTTTATATATTTATATAGAAATTCTTTAATTTTTATTCAAAAGTATAAGAAAATATTATTATTTGTTGTTACATGTATTTTCTTATACAATTACTTGTTTACGTTGAAATAAGTACATTGTTTTTTTTTTCAATCGAACAATGAATGATTATATATGGAAATTGTAAAAGTCAACTCAGAAACAAAGTTTATTAAACATTAATTTATACATATGAATATAGTTCGATTCAAAATAATAAAATGTTAAAAAAACAAATTTTTCAAAGAAAAAAGTAATAAACATTTTGTAATAATTTTTTTTTTTTTATTAATTTATATTTAAAGTGGGATATTATATTTTTCATATCTTGTATTTGTTGAGATAGTTACTTTTTCTATTGAAAAATTTGTTTATTTTTTAAATTTTCTTTTTTTAATGGAAAATTTTGCAAAAGTTGTTATACTATATATATAATAAAATTTTTCAATTGTGTTATACATAAATTCACGAGAGAAATTTTAACTAGTATTATTATTTTCTCTAAATTTTTTATGACACTAATAATGATTACTGAGTTGTTTTTAACAATAAATTTTTCACGATTGATATATGTTTTATATTTTTTTCTTTTAAGTTATACGCATTGTGTAAAAATTAAAAATACTGTAATTTTAGAAAATACAGTTTTTTTAAAAGTATATCTTGCGCGAAATTTACAAATTTCTTGTTTTATTTGTTTAATACATTTGTTTTAATTTCACAAAGTTTATAAAGCAATGACGCACTCGAATAAAAAACTGATGTATTTAAAACTTGATTAAAATGTATATTTTTGACATCTGCTTCTCTCTGTTTTTCTCTACTCTTATTACCCGCATGTATTTATTACTAAGTACTCAACGCGTTTATGATAAACGATTTTTAAAGAAATAATTTTTTAAAATCAAAAATTCTATAATTTTTTGCCTAAAAACTATTTCTTATAGTTTTTATTAATCAATAAATTGTAAAAAAAAATATTTTTTAAGCAAAAAATTATAGAATTTTTCATTTTAAAAAATTAAAACGCTTTTATACCTCACCGATCCCGAGTACACTTGCGTCGTGTACCATTGGAGTAAAATAGACAGAAATATCTTTTGTCTCTTAGTCAATATTTTCATTTTTTTATTTTATTTAAACTTAGGAACATAATTTTTCTTTAGGGTCATTCCATTTTATTTCACTTATAGTCGTTGCGGTCTATTTTTAGAAAAATTTGATATTTCGTATTAATGACTTTGAATATCCGTACAATTCATTTTTGACAATTATTTTATGAAATTTTTTTTTATTTACGTTGAAATTTAGTTTTTAAGTTGAGTTGCACGGAAAATAGGTTAGTTTGACAGCTTTGGAAATTTTATAAAAAAGAACAGAAATAATTCAGTTAGTAAATTTTTTTTCATTAATATTTGTTTAAAATAGTCTAATTTACCAATGTTAATTGATAATTGTGTAAAAAAAGCCAAAATACTACGTGAAAATTAATATTCAAACTTACCTGTAAAATGTTAAAATTTGTCACATTTTGTTTATATTTTCCAAGAAAGTTTATAAATATTATAAAATTTATTACTACCTAACAATAAGTACTTTCCATGTACTTTCACATGATATGTTGGCTTTTTATTTTTATAATATAGAAATATGTGAAATTTTACCTTGAATATTGAACTTTTCAGGATTTTATCAGATTTTGAACACTTATATCTTCGCAGGCGATTAATGAAAAAATCCCATTTTGGTTTTAAAATTTAAGTTAAATCTTCTTTATTCATCTTATCAAAATTTGGTGATGGAGAACGAGCTACTTTTTATTTTTATTCACTTTAAAAAATCCACCTTAAAATACGAATTTAAAGGTTAAAAAACAAATAATTTTATAAAACTGAAGTTGGTTTTCTCAAAATAGATTTATTTGTATGAATTTTATTTATAAAATTACTTGTTTTTTAACCTTCAAATTCGTATTTTACGGTGAATTTTTTGAAGTGAATAAAAATAAAAAGTAACTCTTTTTCCATCACCAAATTTTGATAAGATGAATAAAGAAGATTTAACTTAAATTTTAAAACCAAAATGGCATTTTTTCATTAATCGCCTGCGAAGATATAAGTGTTCAAAATCAGATAAAATCCTAAAAAGTTCAACATTTAAGGTAAAATTTCACATATTTCTATATTATTAAAATAAAAAGCCAACATATCATGTGAAAGTACTTGGAAAGTACTTATTGTTAGGTAGTAATGAATTTTATAATATTTATAAACTTTCTTGGAAAATATAAATAAAATGTGACAAATTTTTACATTTTACAGGTAAGTTTAAATATTAATTTTCACGTAGTATGTTGGCCTTTTTTACACAATTATCAATTAACATTGGTAAATTAGACTATTTTAAACAAATGTCAATGAAAAAAAATTTACTAACGAATTATTTCTGTCCTTTTTGCTTCCTTGTGGAGGAAGCTTTGTAGTCCTTTCATTTATAAAACTTTTCAAAGTGGCGGAAACAAATTTTTTTCTTTATAGAAACATGTTATATGAGATCCTGATCAATTGTCCGGATGTATGTATGTGTGTGTGTGTGTGTGTGTGGATCCCTTTTTTGTTTAGAAGATAACATTAACAGGTTTTAATGGATTTAGATAAAATTTGGTAGGCTCATTTATCATATTAATATCTCAAATCTGACCAAAGGATTTTGAAAAATATCCCAAAAAAAAAATTTTATCGTCTTTTTTCCAAAAATTTTTTTTTAATCGAAAAAATTTTTAAATAGAAAAATTTAAGGTTATATATAATAAAATCGTTTTCCTTACGTCAAGACGAATCGATCGATATATATAAAGTATACATTTAAGGTAAATTTAAAGAATTAATGAAAGTAAAAAAATCAAAATTTCACATTTAGGCTATAAAATTTTGTGATTTTTTAAATTGAAGTTTATATATGAAATAATTGTATCCCTTACGTCAAGACGAATCGATCGATATATATAAAGTATACATTTGAAGTAAATTTAAAGAATTAATGAAAGTTAAAAAATCAAAAATTGACATTTTGGCAATAAAATTTTGCTTTCTCCACGAGGAAGCAAATTTTTTTGCTGATCGTAAAGAGGAAGCAAAATGTAATGAACATCTGAATTTACAACTTGTAAAATTAAAATGTTTAACGTTATAAATTTACAAAGCATAATAAATTAACATTGTTGAATAAGTTATTTTACATTCGGCGTGTAAATCGACACAAAATTTTTTTTACAGTGTAAAGTTCAAACTTTAGTTTAAGCTCAAAAAATAGGTTATATGCAACTCAAAAATGAATTACAAATGACTTTAAGGTCATGGTGTAAGAACGGGGTAAGTCCACGTCAGAAATATCAGAATCTGCAAGTGGTTCTTCGATTTTAATGATACTTGGTAAAATTATAGCTTTATATAAGAGCAATGTGTAAGTAAAAGGAATTTTTAAAATATCTAAAATTGTAGGAGTTATATCACTTTTAATTTTGATATTGCATTTTTTCTTTCCTTTATATCACGGTCAATTTTCAACCGATTTTGATGAATCAAAAACGATTTTTTTCAGAAAATTACGTATTTTCAGAAAATTTTAAAATAAAAATAAAATTTTGTTATTTAAATAGAAAAAAGTAAAAAACAAAATTTCTTTTAGATTTTTTTTCAATTTCGACCTCTTTTTTTAATTTTTAATTTTTTAATAATATTCCTTTTTATTTTATCTTTAATTTAAAAAAAATTCATCCTGGAGACTTTTTTAGATCTCGTGATATTGTTCTTTAAATATCCACATCTCAAGAAAACTAGGATCCAGATTTGTGTTTCTACTTTCATTTGTTTTATAATATTATTGTTACAAACTAGAAACTTTCGCGTAATAATGTTTTTATTTTTAAATTACTTGACTAAAACAAGTGAAAATTCAAGCAAATCAATATTTTATTAATAGATTTGAAGCAAAGTTTTTATTTTTAGTAATATTTATAATTTAAAATAAATTGTAATGAAACCTTAACAATGCAACTTGAAATTGTAGCTGAAGTTTTTAGCGCTTTCTTTTAGAGGATTCTAAAACAAATAGTTATTCATAACCATAAAAAATTTCAACAAACAAATGAAAGTAATGATAGAAGCAAGTCCTGCGGTTTTCAAATTGATGAAGACTTATAATACTTAAAGGACGATATCACGGGATCTAAAAAAGTCTCCAGGATGAATTTTTTTTTAAATTAAAGATAAAATAAAAAGGAATATTATTAAAAAATTAAAAATTAAAAAAAAGAGGTCGAAATTGAAAAAAAATCTAAAAGAAATTTTGTTTTTTACTTTTTTCTATTTAAATAACAAAATTCTATTTTTATTTTAAAATTTTCTGAAAATACGTAATTTTCTGAAAAAAATCGTTTTTGATTCATCAAAATCGGTTGAAAATTGACCGAGATATAAAGGAAAGAAAAAAATGCAGTATCAAAATTAAAAGTGATAGGGTAAGTGTACTAATTACGGCGAGTGCACCAATTATGGCGCGTTCATAAAAAATAACTATTATTACTATTATATTTAATATAACTGATGCCAAATGATTAAAAAAAATTATTTCAATCTTTTTTTGATACAAATACTTATAAAGATGCACATTTAAACAATTATTAATTTAATTATTTGAGATCAAATTTTTTTCCGCGCCGCAATTGAAACATTTTTAAGATTTCCATTGGCTTCAATTTCGGCGGGCAAAGTATCTTCAAAATACACGTAATTTTGGTCACCGAAATTGATACACCGAAACTGATACAAACTCGCCGCAATAGAAAATTACGGTATTAGTTTTAATTTCTCATATTTGTTTAAATAATCGATTTTTATAGAGTTAAAATTTTTTTTTAATATCTTAATAACATAAGCTTTAAGTTTAATAAGTCTTAAATTGAGTTTATACAATAGAAATGTCGAATTTTCTATTTCAAAGGTGTTTTGACTCGAATCTCGCCGCAATTAGTGCATTTACCCTATAACTCCTACAATTTTAGATATTTTAAAAATTCCTTTTACTTACACATTGCTCTTATATAAAGCTATAATTTTACCAAGTATCATTAAAATCTAAGAACCACTTGCAGATTCTGATATTTCTGACGTGGACTTACTCAACGGTGATTTTTTGGGATTTTATAGTTGAGACATTAAGCTTCAATTTAAGCCCTAGTGGAAGGTTCTACGATCTTTTGTTTCAGTGCTAGAGGTAGTTAAAGTTTGTCAAAAACGCGATTTCTTTACATTTTAAATCCGTTTTTCTCAAAAACTAGAGCAGATATAGAAACTTTTCGTTTACGGATTCGTGTTCAGCATGAAAAAACCTATCACCCAAATAGCACAACTATTTACAGCAATTTTGCAGCAAGTTTGCAATGCCAAGTTTGCAAAATTGCTGCAAATTTGTGGCAAATAGCGATATGTCCTCCCTTTTCCAACTTTGCATTATAAGTTTGCAGGAAAATTTTTCAGAAAGTTTGCAGAAAAATTTCTTTGGTAGTTTG